CCTAAACCCCTAAACCCCTAAACCCCTAAACCCCTAAACCCCTAAACCCCTAAACCCCTAAACCCCTAAACCCCTAAACCCCTAAACCCTAGACTGGGGCCCAGAAACCTTACGCCCTGGGCTCAGGAATCAACTGAGGCTGTCTGATGTTTCTGCCAGGCCAGGCGGGCAGTGATGGTTCAGGGATCACGACTTACGGTGTAGTTTGTGGTTTATGTCTGTGTTTAGTTTCAGGCAGTATTGTTTTCATTTCAGTTTGATTGTTTTTTGATTTTTATTATATGCACATCTATATATATATATATATATATATACAATATGAATATATATATATATATATATACATATATTCACTTTTTTTTGGAGGGGGATGGGATGGGGAGAGAGCCTTACGCTGGTTGAGGGTGGCCTCTTAGGGCCGAATTGGTAACCTTTAGCCTCTGTTCGCGCCAGAAGCCCCTTACTTGGGCAGTGTTATGCTTTTCGTGGCTTAGGGTTTTAGGTTTAGGGTTTTAGGTTTAGGGTTTAGGGTTTAGGGTTTAGGGTTGAACTCAGCCAGCAAGTTTTGGTCTATCGATACGTGAACGGGGGTTGCGCTCCCCTGGGAATTTGATGCTCCCATTTCAGGGTTCGTCAATATTGGCAAAGGCAAAAACCCTAAAACCCTGAAACCCTAAAACCCGAAAACCGTAAACCCTAAAACCCTAAAACCCTAGACCCTAAAACCCTGAACCCTAAACTGCCCATTGCAGGCACGCCAAGATTGACGCCTTGGGCAGCGTCAACTGCTTTCATCAGATTGCCTGGCGCTCAGCTTCAGCACACACACACGACATCTTTGGACTTCTTGGTTTAGGGTTTAGGGTTTAGGGTTTGATATGTGCCCCGGTAGTAGCACACTCCCCCACTCCCCTTTCACACCCTGGCACATGGACCCAGGCCATGTTTGCTGTCGCCACGGGTCTCAGCATGAAGGACATGCGAAGCGTTTTCAAGGCGGGCTGTGCCTTTCTGTCTGCTAAGGTATGGGTTGAGGGTTGAGAATTTTTGAGTGCTCCTTAAACCCTAAGCCCCAAACCCTGAACCCCAAACCCCAAACCCAAGTTCAACAAGACGCCTTGCCTGACTTGGGGCGAACAGTGAGTTCTACGAGCCCAAATTTAGGACAGCAAGCCGAACCCTGAGCTGGGCCGATTGGGTCTTCTGCTTGTCTGTCTCATGTAACCTACAAGGCTCACAAGGTTGGGGTTCTTCAGGATAGGGTTTCGGGTTTCGGGTTTCGGGTTTCGGGTTTCGGGTTTCGGGTTTAGGGTTTAGGGTTTAGGGTTTAGGGGGAAGGAAGGGCAGGGTCGTATTCGGGTTTCGAGCTTCAGGGCTGGAGCAGCATCCGGTTAATGAGACCCTAAGGGTCCATGTACCTATATAGCATATATTTGGGCCCTAAAGCTACTAGATAGGAACCCCTTTAAGGCCCAAGTATGTACCATATAGGTACATGGACCTTTAGGGAGAGCACACGGTTTAGCGTTTCTTGGGACTTGCACTCGAGTAGCCTACCCTTAGAAGCCTTAGGGGATTGCTCCCGAGAATCCTACACGTCTGGAAGGTCTTCCAGTCGGTGGACAAAGATAAGCCGCCTGGCCAGCAGCCGGTGAAGAAAGGACCGGGTGCCCCTAAGTTCACTGACCATATAGGAGTTCCTGCAAGGCCCAAGTACATAGCATGTAGGTATATGGGTGTAGGCCTCGGCAAATTCCCTACGCTAAACCCTCGACCTGGCCTCTAGGCCCCTACACCCTAAACCCTAACCCACCCCTAACCCACAGGGTCCACCTAGCTGTATAGTAGTAGGTAAGGGGTTCCTCTTTTGCAGCTTACCCTAAACCCTAACCCACCCCTCACCCACAGGGTCCACCTAGCTGTATAGTAGTAGGTACTTGGGCCTTCCAGGGGTTCCTCTTTTGCAGCTTTAGGGCCCAAGTATATACCATCTAGGCATATGGACCCGTACTGTAAACCCTGCGGAAGTCGCTAGCACGTGTCCAGGCCCGTGTGGGAAATCTAGGCGAATTCCAAACCCCGAACCCCAAACCCCAAACCCTAAACCCAAAACTCTAAACTGAACCGGTTAGAGGCCATGCTCACTGGAGTACAGTGCTGCGACATAGCGTACACATATGAATGCCGCTCCCCACTCTCAACCCAAATAATGAACCCTAAACCCTAACCCCCTAAACCCTAAACCCTAAGCCCTAAACCCCCTAGACACTGAACCCAGGTCCGGTAATCTGGACTTCAACGAGTTCAGGGCTGCCTTAGGGCAGCTGAACATCACGGAGGCGCTTCGGGGGGGTGGCGTTGGGGGGTTTAGGGGTTTAAGATGTTGGGCTTCGTTTGAGGCTTAAGGATTTCGGGCTGGAAGCGGGTGGGCGGAGAGTCCTAACCACTGAGCTCCAAAGTTTGAAGGATGGCTCTATACGGGCCCGCGGCTCCGCTTCTCGACCTCCCCCCCCTATGCCTATGGTACCCCCCCTCCAAACCCTGCCCGTGTGGACCACGGAAGGGGAGAGCCCTAAACCTAAACCTACACCCTCAGCCCTAAGCCCTGAACCACCAATGAACCACAAGGGGGGGGGAGAAGGGCAAACCCGAAACCTTAACCGCCTTATCCCTGAACCCTGAACAGTAAACTCACCACGAAACCCCAAAGGAGGGGGGGGGGGGAGGGAAACCCTAAGCCTGCCTCAACCCCGAACCTAGCGAAAACCCTTAACCCTACAGCCCAACCCTAAACCCTCACCCTACACCCTAAACCCATGTGCCATAGATGAACCACAGGGGGTGGGGGGGGAGGGGGGGGATACCATGGGGGTGGCGGGGGGGGGGGGGGGGGTGCGCGGATGCTGGTGCATATAAACCCTACTTCCCCCCCCCCCCCCCCCCATATCCACTTCCCCCTAAGGCATCCTCCCTCTTCTAGGGCTTAGGGTTTAGGGTTTAGGGTTTAGGGTTTAAGGGCATACGTTTTCAGATACAGGTACTTCTCTTATCCGCCATTCTTTAACGAATCCCCACAAAGGTTCATCTGTTTTGGGAGAGCCTCCAGATGATCTAGCTGTGTGCAAGTCCAACTCCCCACAGGCCCACCTCCTTCGTCTACCAGAACCCGCATCTTCACTACCTTCACTACGACCTATTTACCCCCTACCACGCGTCGCTGTGTGCGGGGATCTAGGTAGGTTTTGGGGGCTGTAGCTCGCGGGGTTTAGGCCTTTGGAGCTCTGGCTTAGGATCCGAAGCGGCTCATGGCCATCTTGGACATGGATCAGAACGGCCGAATCTCGTAGCCTGAGCTGATGGGCTTGTGCGGCTGAGGGCTTAAGATCTCCCCCGTCCACCCCCAGCCCCCAAAAATCCTAAACCCTAAACCCCCAAGTCGCTGTGAAGTATCAAAGAAGCTGAAAGGTCCCTAATCATCCCTACGCGAGCTTGAAGTCAAAGCTTGCACGCATACCCCCCCTCACCCCCGAAAACACCCCAACACCTGGGGTTGAGGTGTCGGGGTTTCGGGTATGCGCACTGGCATTTAGTATGCCCGGAGCAACTGCGAATCAGGGAACGCGAAAACCCTAAACCCTTAGCAACACTCTATATGGTTAAGGGTTGCCTTGGTGGGTCAAGCACAGGGCTTCAGGAATTCTCTGCACGTTTTTGTGCACCGCTTGGGCTGTGGACTTTGGGAGTTAATAGTTTAGGGCTTAGGATTCAGGGTCCATATGGGGCGAGGGAGGAGTACAAGGTTCGACAGGTCTTTAGCAGGGGTCTATTGGGGATTAGGGATGCTCGAAATTGTAGCTTGCATAGCGAAGGAAGGGGTTTACAGGGGCCAGTTTTGGTAAGGGTCTGTAATGGTCACAATGAACAAGGAGAAGAGGGCGCACTGGTTTTGTTTCCTCAGGCGCGCTAAAGGTTTTTCGAATCTGAAGCCAACGGGCACCCTTTATGTTCCTAGGTTACTCTTGGGTCACCCTAAACCCTAAACCCTAAACCCTAAACCCTAAACCCTAAACCCTAAACCCTAAACCCTAAACCCTGGAAATTCCTAGGCTAGTCTTGGGTCTAGTCAAGGTACACGGAGTTCTTGGCAGCTGCCTCCCGGCAGAATGTGGCCTGGGGTCTGGGGCTGGAATGTTCCCAAAGAGCCCAATACCCCTGAACTTAGTAGCTGAATCAGCACACTTTACACTTCAGGGTTTAGGGTTTAGGGTTTTGGCTAACGTAAAAACTACCCCTAAGGGTCCATGTACCTCATTGTTGTGTACTTGGGCCCTAAAGTCCCTAAATAGGAGGTACTTTAAGGCCCAAGTATTCCATATTTAGGTACATGGACCCTTAGGGTTAGTAGCTGAATCAGCACACTTTACACTTTTTGGGGTACTAGAACCCCCTGTAGAGCTGAAAGTGTACACCTTTCTGAGGCCTATGAACTCAGCAACTAAGTGAGCCAAATATAGCCCTGAAGTCAAGTTGAGGATCCCTTCTTTCTAGTCTAAGGTATATTCCTAATGAAGGGGGATGCATTGCGCACTCTGAAGGAGTTTTGGTTTCTTTGTTTGAGGGGTCCTGGGCGCGGCTTCTTGTTTTGGGTTTTTGCCGGCTTTGAGTGTTATAAGGGCTATCAGGGCCTTAAGGGCTCTTAAGGGTTTTTGTTTCGGTGCAAGCCCCTCTTTTGAAGATTGCGCAGCCTTCCCAACTGCAGGAAGACCGCGTTATCGTGAAGGTTACCCACCTTAACCGGCACGAAGTGCCCGATTGGTGGGCCGAAGGAGGGCGTACTCGTACGCACTGATCACATATGGACAGTGGCTCGCTGGAGGGCTATGAAATCCTGGGCCAAGCTCCCAGCCCGAACCCGAGTTGGCTTGAGATCCTCAGCAACAGGCCCCAAACTCTACATCCAAGATGCTGACCCGGACGGCGCCTCCTCCTGCTCTGGACGCTTTAGGGTTTAGGGTTTAGTCCCTAAACCTTAAACCCTTCCAGACCCCGAACTAGGCCAACTTGTAGGGAATACAAGGTCATCTTTGCCCGCATTCAGGATTGATACCAGATAAATAGATTTGCAAGTCCAGGTGAATTTGTGGGGCTTAGTGCTGTATGGTGTACATGTGTGAGGGTCTGATTAGGTGCATAAGGAGGCTTGATTTTGAATCAAGACGAAAAAGCGTACTATGGCGTAACAAGGAACTCCGTGCCCTTTTCCGGGGCTCCACTCTTACGAGTATCCCTTGGGACCAAATGAACCCTAAACCTGGGGTCATATACAAAACAAACTATCATAATTCCTCTCAGGGTATATGAACCATAAAGCCTTGTCGGGTTCGCCAAGGATTGTCCTTAAATCCTATGTACCGAAAAACTGGGTTTTGTGAATCGGCTGTTGGGGCTTTCTAGGGCTGCTGTTCCTTCCGTCAATTGGCAGGGTTTAGGGATTACATAGAATTCGGGTTTAGTGTGCACTTCAAAGCCGTGCGCGCCTGATTTTAAGTTCAGTAGTCACTCGTCACTGGTGTGCCCGTTCACGCTAAGCTTCGGCGGATGTTTAGCACAGCTCCCTGAGCCGTAAACTCTAAACCCCTCAACCCTAAACCCTTTCTCAGGTAAAGTCACGGCCCAGGTACTGTCGAGCTCCGCTGAGCCATTGCCAGAGACGCAAGTCCGAGAGGACCCCTGGATGGACGTTGATGCCGGGTTTAGAGTTTACGGGTCAACCTCAGAACCCTAAACCCTAAACCCCAAGCCTTAAACCCTAACCCCAAACCCCAAACCCCAAACTTAGGGTTCAGGTTTTTCCATGAATCCCTAAGGAAAGGCAGCTCTGGCGGTCTGCTGTTCGAGGGCTTCAGGAGCCCAATACCCCTCAAGGTACGAACTGGAGAAGTTGCCTTACTCTACATGGAGTTCCTCATAACCTCAACCTCCCGTTTAGGGCTTGGGGCTTAGGATGTAGGATTTATGGTTTAGGGTTTAGGGTTTAGGTTTAGGGTTTAGGGTTTAGGAAACCCTAAACCCCCTGAAACTCTCAACCTTCAACCCCAGCGGGTTCATGGAGGGTTTCGGTTGAGGGTTTGGGGTTCAGATGCTATGTGACCCAGACCCTACGACCCTAAAGGCCTTAAAAACCCTCAAGAGCCTACCAGCTCTAACCCTAAACCCTAAACCCTAAACCCTAAACCCTAAACCCTAAACCCTAAACCCTAAACCCTAAACCCTAAACCCTAAACCCTAAACCCTAACCCTAAACCTAGATGAGCCCTCGAAGCTCCATAAACCCCCCAAAATCCCCAAAGCCTTGCACGCCCAAGCCCCTAAACCCCTTAAGCCCTCCTAACAAAGGACCCAGAGTCGGCCCTCAGGGTTATGGTTCCCTTACAAGCCCCCTGAAACCTTAAACCCTAACCCTAGGACCCTAAACCCTAAACCCTAAACCCTAAACCCCAAACCCCAAACCCCAAACCCCAAACCCCAAAGTCCAAACCCCAAACCCCAAACCCTAACCCTAACCCTAGGACCCAGAGTAGTCCCTGGCTCCCTTTGTTTTACGGGATAGGTTCCTGTACAAGCAAGAGGGCACCTGTGTGTTATTCCTAGGCTACCCTTGGGTCTAGAAGCCCGAATAAGCCCTATGAACCCTACAAGCACTATAAACCTAAAAGGCCCCTCAGCCCAAAACCCCAAAACCCCTGAGAGCCCCTTAAACCCCAACAAACCTCGCCTGGGGCACCTCTAAACCCTAAACCCTAAACCCTAAACCCTAACCCCTAATCCCTAAACAAGCCTCGTGCTTGATTTGCTCAGGCCTTCGACGTCTTCGACGTGGATGGCGATGGCCAAATCTCCCTGGCTGAGCTTCGGGTGATGCTCTCAGGAGACGGCTCTTCACGGGCTTGTTGGGGTTGTTATTGGGTTTTGTTTTGTGTTTTTTTTTGTGTTTGTAGGGTGTATATGGGGTTTGTGTAGGCCGTTTTAGGGATTGATTGTAGGCTAGGGTTATTGGGCTTATTTCGGAGGTTCATATTGGGTTTGGTGGGTTTTTGGGAAGGGTTTCGCAGGGCTTTATAGGGCTTGTGGAAGGTTTCTGAGGTTTATTCTCTTTATAGGGCTTATTGAGGTTGATAGTAGAGCTATAGAGCGCATAGGGCTCACAGGGTTCGGGTTTAGAGTTTAGGGTTTTGAGGGCAAGGTCCCCCATTACTAAGGCTCCAAGGCCATCTATTCCGCTTTTTCAGAACGACCATACTGGACATGTCTTTTGCAGCATTTATTTTGTAGTTCCTAGATGCCGAAGACCAAAGCCCTAAACTAAACCCTGGCCCTAGGGTGTTTAAAAGCACTTGGCGAGCTCTGCGGGCGTATTTTCGATGAGCAGACAGTACTCGTGAGCACACAGCTCTACTTGCGCGGCTGTGTAAGAACCATGCGCTCGCTGTTAGGCATGTGAGAGCAGCTGCTGTGTGACCCAGCCATGTCTGACCCTAAACCCTAAACCCTAAACCCCTAAACCCCTAAACCCTAAACCCTAAACCCTAAACCCTAAACCCTAAACCCTAAATCCTGGTTGCTGACGGGCATGGGTGCTCAAGTGGGCATCTCTTGAAGGCGAAGGGGGTGCATGAGGCGCCACACCGCGCAACTCGAGACGGATAGAATACGAATACAGTGCACCCATCATCTCTTTGCCATAGTTGGGTAACATTTTCATATTTTTTAAGGGTACTTAAAACCCAATAAGGAATATAAATTTAAGATTTTAATACTATCCCAACCATGAACTAGATCTTCCTAAAGCTCCGAATAGCCCAAAGTAGGCTTTGCAGTGCTTTACTGTAACTTTAGATCCTTAGCCTTGTTGAGTTTATTGAGTTTCTTCATATGGCAGCTCAAAATTTAAGCTTTAGCTACCCTTCTGAGTGCAGCCAAGTAGGTACTATTTACAGACTTTAGACCCCAATGTAGGTATTGTTTGTATACTTGGAGCCGGAGCCTAGGGTCTAGCGAGTCAGAGGAATGTCACCAAGAATGGGGTTTAGGGTTTAGGGTTTAGGGATTAGGGTACTACGAAGTGATAAGCGTGGAGTTCTATCTTCAGCCGGCGTTCAGGTCGCAGAACTCCTACGCACCCCTGACCCATCAAGTAGACCCAAAAGCCCCCACGCCCAAGACCCTGACCGCCCTAAACCCTAAACCCTAAACCCTAAAAAAAAGAAAACAGCGGGGTCACAGAGTCGCATGACAACAGGGACACCTCTGGTTTCTTCGTCGGGTTTAGGACTATCCTTCCTTTGTG